CTATACTTATAAATACTTATATTAGACTTATAAATACTTATATACTATACTTATAAATACTTATATTAGAGATATAATTCAGCAACGATGCAACCTTGAACAACAAGTTATTAAAAATGCACTAAGCATCGCTGTACACTCACCAGCTGAATTCGCTTATCAGTTCATGAAAGGACCAGGATATATGGCAACAATTTCTGGAGAAGTCGTATATATAATTAAATGTACTCCAGTGGAAGTAACAATACGACATATTGAAGAATGTTACAATCAATTACCTGTATATAAAGGAAATAAAACATACTTTTTGGCTCCACGAACACATGTTTTACTAAAAACAGGGACACAAACAACATGCAACAAAATAATACCAACTATGTATTATCTAAAGGATACATGGTACAAAATTTCTCCAACACCGGAATTAGGAATACCACCAATGAAGATTAAGCCAATGACCAAGCCAACATGGGAATATAAAAATCTTGGCTCTTTGGCAACAAGCGGGATTTATAATAATAAAGATTTAGAAAATTTAAGAGAACACATTATGTTTCCAGCTGAGAAGAATGGAATACTTAATACCATGGCGTTAAAGGAGTTAAAGGCAGACCAACTGAGCAACAAGGAATATTGCTTTCACATCTTCTGGATGAATCATCTATAGAAAAAATTGTCAAAAACACATGGAAGAAAATTTGGAGAACATTCATAATCTTTGGAAATGCCAGTGCAGGATTAATTGGAATATATTTCTGCATAAGAACAATTAAATTAGTCATTGATACTATAATTCATGGATACGCTATTCATTCAATTTATGGCTGGTCAATACATTTAATAGGAGCACTTTGGGACTCAGTAACAAATTTACTGGTACATCATGGAAAAGGAGCAACACCAAAAGAAGAAAGAAGAAATGAAGAAAATCCTGGACCAAGTACTGCACCAGCAACATACATGAAGAAATACTAACTACACAACAAACTCAAAACACAACACAAAACAATACAAACACTAACATAATTTCAGATATACAACCAAATACCCGCAACGAAGTATCAACTCTTTACCCAAGATTATTATAATATCTCCGTTATTATTATAATATCATCCGTTATTTTATATAATATTTTGTCTATAGAAATGAAATTACCACAAGGTCAAGAAGAAAAGGATTTCCAAGAATACTACGGACCGATTGATGGAGTAAGACCCATCGATCATTTTGAAATATATGCATCACTAATAGCAAGTGTGTGTATGGAAGCAATCAACCCTGAAGAAACAATTTATATTAAACCACCAGACTGGACGGGCCAAAAAATTAAGCTGTGA